AGCAAAATGAGCAGGAGTTTTGAACAGGTGGAGAGGAAGGAACAATGGGGAAGCAAGTGCTGTGGGAGTTCATATGTGTGAATTCCTGGGCGAGCTTGTTAACATGCAGACTCTAAGTTAGTAGATCTGGTTGGATCCTGAGAGTCTACATTTCTAATAAACTCTTCAGTGATGCTGGTCCAGGAACTACATTTTGAGTCGGAGTCAAACTTTTAGGTCCTCTCTGATTCTTTAAGCACTGAGCTGCGAACTGCAAGGTTGGTGGTTCAAACCCACCAGCTGCTTTTCAGGAGAAAAAAAATGACATTGTCTACTCCTGTAAAGACCTACAGCCTCAGCAATGCTACCAAGGTCAATATGAGTGGAAATGGACCCCATGGCCATGGATGGGTGGGTTTCAGATTCTTTCAATGCAGTCCAATTCAGGGAGTATGCTTGAGAAGATCCCAGGAGGTGAGCCATGGAGGGCTGAGAGTGGTCATTGGGAAAGGTGGACAAAAAGGTAGAAATCCCATCCATCTTGTGATGTCTCCAACTCCAGTCAACCTCTAAATGTCTTGACACTTTGGAAGGCATTTTCCCTGAAACGCTGGGTCAATGCCTTCCCAAGAAGTGTGGTCTCACTCTCTTTGAGGAAGTCTGAAATCCACATAGCTTAGCCACCTGCGAAGCGGGGGTGGGGGTGGGGGGTGGGTGAGAGAAACTGGAAAAGAAAAAAGAGGAGGAGAAACAAGGAGACAGCCCTTTAGAACGCACAGGGTTCTTTCTATGCCCGTGCGGACAGCAGCAGTGTGGGTGACACCCTCGGGGGAAACCGAGTGCACCAGCCTCGTGCAGAAGGCAGCCCTGGGAAAGGACACCCATGGGCTAATATTTCAGAGGAGGCACACAGGCCTGAAGTTGGTGTCTGCCTGTTGGCAGGGGGTGGCTTATACTGTGGGTTAAGGGGCCAGTAGTTACTTGTGTTTTTCCCAACTAGCACTGGTGACTGATCCCTTGGGTGCAGCCTGGAGCAGTAGGGGTCGGGAGAAGAGTGGGCTCCACAGGGTACTGGGGAAAGCAGAGGCTCTGGGGGCGTGGGGCGGACCGGGTGGAGGGTTTCGTGGCACAAAGGAGAAAGGGAGCAGGAGGACAGTGGAGGCCTTGTGGTCATAGCTCTGACATGAACAGCCCACAGCAAGGGCTGAAAACCCTGGTAGAGGAAGGATCCCTCTTTACAGGCAACCGCTCCGACCGGTCCTGGGGCGTCCGGGAAAGGGAGACTCCACTTCCCTGAACAATCGTCTTCACACGCCCCGATTCTCTGGCCCCTACTTGCCCAAACCCCAACCTCCACCATGTTCCCTCCAGGACAGCCCTGGGAAGGTGGAGGGCCACTGGGCAAACCTGATCGAGATGCTTCTTCTCCTTTTTGTCCCTCGGGGACACACACACACACACACACACACACACATACACACACGAATTCACTTTCCAGTCCCCCCTGGAGCTGGTGGGGATTGGAAAAGGGGGGGGAGGGAAGGAAGAGGAGAATCAAACAGAAACCTTCTCATCTTTCCATCAGCAGCCATGCAAGGAATATTGTTCAGCATGGCACAAAAGCGGCACTGAAAATAGCTGCAGCCAGTGCGGGGCTGCCAACCACTGCCTGAGATAACGTCTACACGGAGACACTGGTGTCTTTGTGGGGCTGTCAGTGTCCCCATTGTTCTGGAGCCTAGTGCCTGGGGAATATTGTTCCCAGCTTTTGTCTCCCCCGGTTCACTTTTGTTTGCCTTTACTTACCATTTCATTCCAGGCTGCTTTGTGCGCTCCCATTCCCTCCTTTGTCTCTCCCTCTCGAAGCCAGCCTGTGGCGGTGGATTGGTGCCCAGGGAGACAATAGGCCCTACCCCCTCCCAACCTGCAGCCCCACCCGCAGCCACACACACCCCACAGTTCCATTCTGCTGCTCCCTCTCCCAAGTGGCACCCAAGAGGTCCCCAAGTTGGAGGGAAGGTGGGGCCCGAGCCGCCACCCACTCCCCTCCTGGGTCATGGAGGATTGGCCAGAGGATCTTGGTTTCCCAGGAGGGTCTGACAGGCCTGGAGGTGGTCTCGGCCCCTTTCTGGGTCGCCTTTATGATTTGAAAAAGCATTTATTTTCTTTCTTCGTCTTCTTCTTCTTCTTTTTTTTTTTTTAACATAATAGGCTTTGGGTCCAGGCAAAAGAAGGGCACTGTCATCCCTGCCACATCCCCCAAACCCTCTTATAAGGGCCCAGCATTCACTGCTGTGACGGGGCACTCAGCTCTC